CGCACCGCAGGGCATGTGACAATGACAGAAACCACCTGCCCTTGGGGCGGGGTGGCCACCAGGCCTGAGCCTCACTAGCCCTGGGTCAGCTGACGCACACGGCTCCAGCCTCGACTTGGCCCATGTCTGGGGTGTGGCCAGGACTCTCCACGTGGACATGGGTGCTGGGGCTGGGGGCATGGGGGGCCTGAGGACGGGCACCTGGGGACATGGGAGGCAAGCCCACCAAGCAGTCATCATGCCTGGGACTCCTCCTGAGAGGCTCTAGAACCCCGCCCAGTACTCACAGCAGGGCCGGGAGGTCCCGGGGGGCCTGGGAGGCCTGGAAGTCCAGAGGGTCCCTGTGGGGGGATGATGGCTTAGACAGAGCATGGCCAGCCCCCACCTGAGTGAGGGGCCCAGCGACTTCCAAAGAGAAGCCTCTCCTCCGAAGATGCCTCTATGGGGCCCCCCCAGTGCTGCCATGCTGGCCCACCCCAGCCCTGTGCGTCCTGAGGTCTGCGCTGCCCTGTCCTGGGTGTCAGCCACGAAGGCCCACCAAGAAAGAGGGTGGGGGGGGGGCTTCCCTGGTGGCACAGTGGTTAAGAATCCGCCTGCCAATGCAAGGGACGTGGGTTCAAACCCTGGTCCGGGAAGATCCCACATGCTGCAGAGGAACTAAGCCCGTGCGCCACAACTACCGAGCCTGCGCTCTAGAGCCCGTGAGCCACAGCTACTGGGCCTGTGCGCCTAGAGCCCGTGCTCTGCAACAAGAGAAGCCACCGCAGTCAGAAGCCCGCGCACCGGAGCGAAGAGTAGCCTCCGCTCCCCGCAACTAGAGAAAGCCCGCGCGCAGCAACGAATACCCGATGCAGCCAAAAATAAATAAATAAAATAAATAAATCTAAAAAAAGAAAGAGGGTGAGGGGCAGGGAGAGGAGGGGCACAGGGAGGCGGTGACGGGGGAGGGAAAAGGGAAGGAAAGCGGGGAGGCCCCCCCATGGTTGCATTTGGGGAGTCCTGGCAGCCACTCACCGGGGGGCCCCGGAGGCCAATTCCGCCTGGGACGCCGCTCACCCCTGCCTCTCCCTGGGGGAGGTAAGAAGTGAGAGATGGGCGTCTGCACCCAAGGAGCTCTGAGGATCCCCAGGGGAGTCCAGACCGGGCTCCCATATCCCTACACAGGGCCAGCCTGCCCTCTCCCCCCGGCCCCAGTCCTGGTCTGGGACCTGGTGGCCATGTTGGCTCAGGGTGTGGCGGGCATGCTCGGGGGTGGGGGTGGGGGAGCACGAGGGTCATCGGTACTCACGGGGGATCCAGGGAGGCCTTTGCCCTGCAATGCCAAGCATGGGGTCAGAACCTGCTTGGGACGGGAGGAGGTTGCCCACCACCCACCCCGTCCCCCTGAGCTGGTCAGGCGAGTTGCTGGGGATGAGAGGGCACAGCCCAGATAGCACCTAGGACCCCAGCCCAGGGCCCAGCCCCCAGGAGAAGCTGCAGAGGGGCAGCAGACGTGGCATTTTGGGGCCCCTCAAACTCCCACCCGGGGGAGAACACAGTACTCACCCCCAGCCCAGGGGGCCCCGGGGGCCCCAGACTTCCCTGCAGAATGAAAGGGGGCGTCAGGGGTGGGCTGGGCCCAGGCACCGTCGCCTATGTTTGCAAACCTGTTCCCTTCCCTCCCAAGTCCATCTCCCCTGAGGAGGGGGTTCTTCTTTTATAGAAGACCGACAGTGGGTGGGGGGGACCTCCGATGTCCCAGGGCCCTGGGACTGGTCCTTTACCAACAGTCCTGCTGAGGAAAAGCCAGAAAAGGTCCCTTCCTGGCAGCACTACTGCAGGCCACCAGGAAGGCACATGCCAGGTGTGACCTGAGCCACACAGAATAGCCTGATGCCCGGCTCCTCCAGGAAGCCCTCTGGCCTCCTTGGTCCACAGTAGGAAGCCCCAAACCTCCAGCAGCTGGTGGCCTGCCCGTCCGCCCAGCACCCTCCTGGTCCTCTTGCTGCCTTGCATCCCAAGGATGAGGCCCTTGTTCAGGAGGCCCCTCCCCTCCTGTACCCCAGGCTCCCTGCAGAAAGCCTGGAGCTAGTCCCCCCTCCTCCCTTCCCCCACTTTTCCCCACTCCCCCAACGTCCTTGGAAACATCAAAGGACCTGCCGGCTGCAGGCAACCACTCTCTTCCTTGTTTCCCACTCAGAACACTCCTACAGCCCAGTTCCCAAAGGCAGGGCTGCGTCCTGGCTCCCTCCCCCCCATCACAGCCCCCCTGCCCTCTGCACCCCAGGGCCGGGGGACAGTCACTTCTCGAAGGGGGGACAGAGAGGGAGTTGTTGGTCTCAGCTTTGCGCTTGGAGCCACGAGGGAGTTGGTTGGTCAGAAAGGGGGTTTTGGTGAATAATGGTCAGACTCGGGGGACAGGCTGGGTGACCGTGGGCCCCTAGGGTGGGCACAGAGAGAGGGGCAGCAGCTCACCAGAGGAGGAGGAGGGCATGTGGGGCCGGTCACGCCCCAACCATACCAGCCCCCGCAGCACGGTCTGAGGGCTGGGACAGCTCTGACCAGAGGGGGCGGCGGGGGGCACTCATCACCCTGTGTCCTCATGCCCTCCAGCCCCCTTCCACCCCACAGCAGGGGCGGGGCCCAGCCAGTGCAGTCACAGCAGCTGCCCTCAGAACCCACACCCTGTGGACAGGTGGTGCTCAGCCTGGCTGCCCCTGGCTGGGACCTCGCCCCTGAGCTAAAGCCACTGGACGCGGTGCCTGCCTTACCCGTTCTCCGGGGGCGCCCTTGGGTCCAGGGGGTCCATCCTGCCCGGTCAGACCCTGGGGAGGGAGGTGGAAGGAGGGCTGGAGGGGTCACATGGGAAGGATGTGCCCTCTCAGGGGGAAGAAGCAGGCATGGGCCCCGCCCTAACTAAAGCCAGTCAAGAGAGGTCAGAAAGACCCTTGGGTCAGGCACCTTCCCCTCTGGCCCCACCCACCGCCCACCTGGTGGGAAGCCAGTGGCTGGAGCACCTGCTGGAGTGGGCAGGCCCAACGGGCAGGAGAGTTCCCCTCTGACATCCCCTCCAGTGCGTGCAAAGCCCCCGGGCCTGGGGCCAGGCCTTAAGCTCCTGAGGAGCCCCTGACGCAGGCACCCTGGGGCTCGGAGGGATCTGGATAATGGGCCTTTGTTCCCAGAGAAGCTAGAGCTGGCGGGACTTTCACCTCTCCTGTGCACTGGCGCTGTCGTCTGGCAGACAGGGCCAGACACTAACGGGCATGGGATGAAGGCCAAGGGACCCTGCCGGGGGACATCCGGAGACACTCTTGGGCCTGGCTTTCCTGCTTGAGCTGGCCCAGTTGGAAAACAGCAATTAAATCTGACTCCTGGGCGCTGGGATGGAACCCCTCCAGGCTGGGAGGGGCGTGGGGGGCTCGTGGGAGAAGGAGGGGCCGGCACACTCACATCCACACCAGGCAGTCCCGGCATCCCGGCTTCTCCTGGTTTCCCCGGCTTCCCCGGGGCCCCTTTCGGTCCCTGTGGAGGGAGAGGGCAGAGGCGTGAGCGAAGCTCCAGCCAGAGCCTTGGCCTTCACCAAGGAGAAAAGTGTCCTCCAGCGGGGCACAACCTAGCAGCCCTAGATGGGCCCCTCTCCACCAGAGCCCCAGCCCTCCCTGCTGCCCTGCCCACCCCTTGCTGGCCCAGGAGGGCTTCCCCCCCCGGCTGCCCCTCTGCCCGTCTTCGGTCACATCTGTGGGACACTCACCCAGACGCTCTGGCCTCCCCAGCTAAGGGCCAGTGGGCCCCTCTGTGGGCCCCTCTGTGAGCCCCTCCGTGAGCCCAGAACCCTCAATTCCAGGGCCTGAACAGCTCCAGGACAGCTCGCTTGTGGGACCTCTGACGGGCTGGATGTGCAGGTCTGTATGGACCTTTTCCCTGACCTGCCGGCACTTGCCCAAGCAAGCTTCGAAGCCAGACCCTGCCCGGAGACTCACTGAGTCCCACCCACTCCCCTCCCACCTCTTCCTGCTCTGCCCCTGCTCCAAGGCCACCCTTTGGCAACCCAGGGCCCAGCACGGTGGGAAGGGGTGTCAATGAGCCCCCTGCTCTAGGCCCACCCGTCCCCTCCAGACTAGAAGGAGGCCTCCTCCCCCCAACCCCCACACACCCCGCAGCCAGGACACTCACCAAGGGCCCAGGCAGCCCTGGAGGACCAACTTCTCCCTGCAGAGAGGGAGATGCCCACACGTGACCAAGTGTCCTCTGGAAGCCCCGCCCAGGGGAGCAGAGCTGGGCCCCAGAGGAGGCCCCAGGAGGCAGGATGGAACCCTTCACCCCATCACCCACACCTGTAGGCACCTCCCCTCTAGGGCCAGGCACAGAGGCAGGCAGTGGGGAGAGGGGTGAGCTGGACAGGCTAGGGATTTGAGCCCACTTTGAGGGCACAGGGACACCCCAGAAACGGTGGGAGGTGTCATGAAGCCCCACCTCTCCGCCTGCCTGAGAAACTCCAGAAACCCGGTTGGAGGTGGCAGCCTCCGGAAACACAGAGGACCGGGAAGGCAACCTGGCACCCTCTCCACCCTGACGGCCACTGGCTCTGAAATCTTTTACCCGAGGCTTTCAGGCCAGGCTTTAAGTGGAAACGTCCCCAGAGGGAACGACTGGGGAGCCCTGGGGTGCCAAGTGCCCAGCCCCACCAGGAGGGGAGGCCACCTGGGTCCAGGGCCCAATACAGCCACACTGAGCAACGGCCCTGCGGGTGGGGTGGTGGGAGGGAGACTCAGGACCATCAAGGGCCAGGCAGGGCCCTGGGGACTCAGAAGGAGGCAGGTTCTACCCAGGGAACAATACTGGTGAGGAGAGGCCTGGAGGGCCCTGACTTTCACGGACGTGGCTGAGTCAGGGGCTCTCAGCCCACCGGGTCCTGGGGCCAGCCTTCAGGGTCTCATCTGCCTCCCATACAGCTTAGGCCACGCTTAGGCGGGGGCGCCCTTGGAGGATGCCACTTCTGGGGCAGAGCCAGCCCCCAGCCCCGTCCAAGGCTGGCTCCAGCCTCTAGTAGCCGCCAACGAGACCCACCCAGGGGGACAGCCTTTACCCCCAGAAAAGAGGAGTGCAGGCCCCTCTGGGGACCCAGAGACACACACCCAGTGCCCACACCTCCAGCCCCAAGAGCACCATGGGGCCACCCCCGCCTGTCCTGGGGAGGCAGTCCCCGGGGGGTCCGCCCCAAGAAGGAACAAGGATCGTCTTTGTCCCGTTTCACTCCCCACAGGGGCGCTGGCTCATCGCCCCAGCCCTGGGAGGTGCAGTTAGCTTTCTCTCCATCAGGCCTGGGGCTCAGGGAGGTTGGGGCGGGAGCGAGAACCCCGCAGAAGCTCCCCGGCCATCCCCGCCCACACACTCACATCAATGCCGTCGGTGCCTGGCTTCCCAGGTGGTCCTCGGGGGCCGGGGGGGCCTCGAGGTCCCACTTTCTGAAATGGAGAAATGTCATCAGGCAGCTGCATCCCCACCCTCTCCCGCTGGCGGTGGGGGGGGGTCCCCCCTGGTTGGCCCTGGGGTCAGCCCGACGGAGCAGCCCCTCCTGCCAGTCCGGAGAAGAGCTAGGGCCTGTCCAGGGCCCTGCACCCCGGCTCCCCTCAGACCCTCGGGCCTTGGCAGTATCCCCTGCCACCTCGCCTGGGCAGGAGGGGCTGCGTCGGGGCTGAGCCCCGCAAGGAACAAAGGCCACATTGTGTCTCTCTGGTGGAGACACAGCGCTGGCACCGGACCCTGCCTGGTGAGGAGGGGCAGCCCCTGCGCGCATCTCCGAGGTGTCCCGGCGTCCGTGGAGGCTGGCCGGGAGATGGCGAGGAAGCTATGGGGCGACAGGACTGTGCCCGCCGTCCCCAGGGGCCCCGGGCTCCCCGACTCCCTTGCTGACCCTGGGGGCGAGGCGGGGAGCTTACTCCCTGGCTGTGCTGCTCAACGCAGACCTCAGAGCCACGGACCCCCACCCCAGCCACCTTCCAAGGCGAACCCAGTGCACCGGCGTCCCGTGCTCACCTGCGCCCTGGTCACGGTCACGGTGGCGGCCAGCAGCTGCCCAAGCAGGAGCAGGGCCAGAGCGGGGGCTCCGGCCATGGCTGCACACACGCTCTGAGCGGAGCCGGCGGGGTGGCAGCGGCCTGAGCTCGGCTTGGCGGGCGGGGCTGCTGGTGGGCCGGACGCCAGTTCCCGCCCCACTGGCCCTCACACAAGCCCCCCATTCAGCTGGGCCCACCTGGGTGGGCGGGGGCTTCTGCGCTGCCCCGCGCCTCCCTGCCGAGACAGTCAGGGAAGAAAAGAAACCCAGTGGCATGTTTTTGGCCAGCCTCTGAGTTAAAATTATCCTGGGACTGGTGAGTTACACACATACACCTTTTAGCAAGCAAGAAAGAGGCTCTTTTCTCCCCTTGGTCCTCGACCAGGGTGTGGAGAGGGAGAACCCCACACTGAAGGGCTCCTTTGGAGAAGGGGCAGTCCTGTCAGCGGCGTGGGTGAGTCCCATACTCCTCCCCAGGGTCCGGAGAGAGACCCAGGCTGCCCAAGGCCCAGGAAGACCCCCAGAGAGGGTGAACACGCCTGTGCTAGGGGTGAGACAGGGCCCACCACAGCCCCGGTTCCCACTCCGGGGCCCTGCCGTGGGCAGAATAGACTCTAGGGCCATGCCTGCTAGGCTGGAACGCCGCCCCCAGGGCCCTCTCCCCAAACTTTAACTGTACTGAGTGGTCCATCCATGTGAATCAGCAGTGGCAAAGGCCGGACTCTCACCCGGCACCGCCCCCCGAGAGCCAAGCGGGGGCCCTGCAGAGAGGAAGGAAGGCCCACCGTGGTCCTGAGGCCCGAGCAAAAGCCTGACGAACAGGAGCCCTGAGGCTGGCGTGGGCTGTTCCCGTTTCCCACAAGCCTCGGTAGCTCAGTGGTTGCCAAATCTGGGCACCTTCTGCTTCACCCCGGGAGCACATGGGGACAGCAGGGTAAAGGGCAGCACCTGGGGCCAGGGGGACTCGATGACACCCCCCCCCCCACGGGACACCCAACCCCAAGCAGGAGCAGGGCCAGAGCGGGGGCTCCGGCCATGGCTGCACACACGCTCTGAGCGGAGCCGGCGGGGTGGCAGCGGCCTGAGCTCGGCTTGGCGGGCGGGGCTGCTGGTGGGCCGGACGCCAGTTCCCGCCCCACTGGCCCTCACACAAGCCCCCCATTCAGCTGGGCCCACCTGGGTGGGCGGGGGCTTCTGCGCTGCCCCGCGCCTCCCTGCCGAGACAGTCAGGGAAGAAAAGAAACCCAGTGGCATGTTTTTGGCCAGCCTCTGAGTTAAAATTATCCTGGGACTGGTGAGTTACACACATACACCTTTTAGCAAGCAAGAAAGAGGCTCTTTTCTCCCCTTGGTCCTCGACCAGGGTGTGGAGAGGGAGAACCCCACACTGAAGGGCTCCTTTGGAGAAGGGGCAGTCCTGTCAGCGGCGTGGGTGAGTCCCATACTCCTCCCCAGGGTCCGGAGAGAGACCCAGGCTGCCCAAGGCCCAGGAAGACCCCCAGAGAGGGTGAACACGCCTGTGCTAGGGGTGAGACAGGGCCCACCACAGCCCCGGTTCCCACTCCGGGGCCCTGCCGTGGGCAGAATAGACTCTAGGGCCATGCCTGCTAGGCTGGAACGCCGCCCCCAGGGCCCTCTCCCCAAACTTTAACTGTACTGAGTGGTCCATCCATGTGAATCAGCAGTGGCAAAGGCCGGACTCTCACCCGGCACCGCCCCCCGAGAGCCAAGCGGGGGCCCTGCAGAGAGGAAGGAAGGCCCACCGTGGTCCTGAGGCCCGAGCAAAAGCCTGACGAACAGGAGCCCTGAGGCTGGCGTGGGCTGTTCCCGTTTCCCACAAGCCTCGGTAGCTCAGTGGTTGCCAAATCTGGGCACCTTCTGCTTCACCCCGGGAGCACATGGGGACAGCAGGGTAAAGGGCAGCACCTGGGGCCAGGGGGACTCGATGACACCCCCCCCCCCGGCTCGATGACCCCCCCCCCCCCCAGGGGACACTCAAACATCCAGGTCACCTACAGAGCCCACTGAATGCTCGGAATCCCAGCCCCGCCTCAGGTGTCTGAGTCTTTAGAATTCCCTGAGAAATGCTGCTTTAGGATGAGCCTCATTTCTGCAGGTGAGAGCTCAGAACTTTTGAGATGACGGGAATTAGCCCAGGAGGGAGCATGCAGCAAACCGAAACAGTTAAAACCTCCCTTCCCTGTTGGGTTCAGCTGTGGGCTGCTCATCAGGCTTGGCCACACCCTCCAAAGGGAGGGTGGATTCTATCAGGAAGGGCCAAGAGAATCCCCGAAGTTCCAGCCTTCCAGCCAAGTCAGTCATCTTAGGACATCCTCAGAGATGCAGTGTGGGGCTGGGTGTAGGGCAAGCAGCTTCACCCCACCCCTACCTCCAAGGCACCTCCTGCCCGGAGCCTTCTCCTTCCTGCGCTCGCCTGCCTGACACAGCGCCAGAGGGCTCCTGCTGGACCAGACTCAGCGGAAGCCTGGCTGGGAAGTCAAGGGAGAGACCTAGTGCCTGGAATCCCACCCCACCTGCCTTACAAACCCACTCCCAGCTCTGTGCAGACCCTCCCACCTGCTGCCAGGAAACACCCTCCCCCTGGAGAGTGGCCCCTGCCTCGAACCCAGATAGCCACAGTGGCCTGGGGAGAGGCCACAAGGCTGGCCTCACGTCCACCGGTCAGTCCGGTGTCACTGCCCACCTGTTCTGGGCCATCACTCTCCCCGAAGCTTGCGGGTCAGGTGCGCCCGAGCTGCCTGACCTCCCGTCCCCAGGCCCCACTGCTGAGCACAGGCATCCGGCCCCCAAGGGTTGCTCCAATGGGGTCCACTTCTCACTTCACACTCCAAGCTTCTCCACCTGAACCTGAGCCCCATAATGGTGTGGACGAGGACCTGATGCCACTATGTCCCACCCCCACCCCAGCGAGTGACTTCCAGTTTGTCCATCCCCCTCCCCACAGGACAGGAGCTGTGGGGAGAGCCTGAAAAGAGGACCCAGGTCCAGGCCCCTAACTCCCTCCCCCTCCCCCGCCCCCCACCAGGTGTGACCTCCATCACTTCGGAGTCTCCTGGTCCTTGGTGCTGATGTAGGAAGGAAGGGAGCGGTCCTGGTACAGGGGACAAAGCCAGGCTGAGGGGGGAGCATGCCCTGCGGGGTGGGGGCTGCTGAGGGAGGGAGGCACTCCGTTCCCAGGCTGGTCCCTGTGTGGAGGACCGATGGGTTGAGGGGCAGCTGTGGCCGCCAGGGAGGGGACAGAGGGGACAGAGCACACCACTGAGCCTGCTCCCCGAGGCACATCACGGAGCCCCAAATCAGGGCGCACTGAACACTGGTGACAAAGGGTAGCCGAGGGACCAGCTGCCCAGCCCCAGCGGCTCTGGGAGGCTGTGGGGTCAGGGTGCCCAGGAGGCCTGCACCACTGCTGCACCCCAGGCACTCCCACGGGCAAAGTGGTGCAAACCAACCCCTCCCCTGCCCCGGCCACCCACAGGGCCACCGTCTGCGCCCAAACACTCAAAAGTCAGATGAGTTTATTCAGAAAAGGCGTCTGCACCAGACAAAGAAAGTGAGCCCCCCTCCCACCCCCCCAGCCCATGAGGAGCCAGGTTACAAAGGTGGGGGGCGGGCAGCGGCACAGAGGACTGAAAGAGGCGGGAAGTGAGGTCGAGGTAAGAAGGATGCTGAAGCCTTGGCCTTCCCCAAGGGCGGGACCTGCCCTTCCAGCAGTTGCAGTAGTGGCTGCAGTGACCAGCAGGGAGAGGCCCGCAGAGCTGGGCGCGGAGAACAGCTGGCGACACGGCTCCCAGGCCTGCGGCAGGGCAGGGCAGGGCCCCGGGCGTCCCCTTCCCTACGGCTCTCCGGGCTGGACAGAGGGTCCCGCCCCCGTGGGCTCTGCCGTCTCATCCACCTCGGGTCCTGCAGTGGCTGGGCTCCCGGGGGCACCCTGCTCCGGCCCTGCCGGGCCATCTGCTTCTTCTTGGACCCCATCTCCACCCTCTTCGGCCACTGGGCGCCCTGAGGGGGCAGGGGGCTGGGCGGCGGCCAGCGTCACGGCGCCGCCCCCGGCACGCCGGCCCGTCTTCCTGCGCTTCCTCAGCCCGCCAGCCACCTTGGCCTGCAGGGGCCGGGGGCGGGGCTGCTCGGCCTCCTCCGGGGCCTGGCTGCCCACTTCCTGGGTCTCCGCCCCGAGGCGGCCCTGGCCGAGGGCGCAGCCCTCCAGGTTCAGGGCGACCTTCTCCACCTCCGAGGCGCCCGGGCCCGGCTGCTCCGGGGCCCGCGCCCGCACGCTCGCCTCCAGCCTCCTCTTCTTCCTCTCCTTGGGGTTTGGAGACTCGGGCCCCTGCCCGTCGCCGGCCTCGCCTCGCTGGTCCTCCTCCGAGGCCCCGGCTTCCTGGGGCTCTGCGCCGGGAGGCTGGGGACGCTGGGCCACCGGGTGCCGCTCCCCACCGCCCCCCGGCCCGCAGGTCTGGCGCTGGGCTCCGGCCGCAAGGAGGGCGTCCCCAGGGCTCTCCTCGCCGTTGGCCTGCCTTGGGCGCGCCGGCCGGGGCGAGCAGCGCCTGAACTTCTGCAGCTTGTCGTGGGGCCCCCAGACGAACCTGCAGCGGGGCCGGAAGTGCTCCCAGGCAAAGTACAGCAGCTCCCGGCGCCGGTGCCGGCACCGCACAGTGAACACGAAGTAATCCAGGGCGCTCTGCCGCACGCCCGGCAGCTGCCGGCGCACCAGCGTCTCCTCCAGGAAGAAGCGGGCCAGGGGGGCCTGGTAATGCTCCAGGCCCAGCTCCCCCAGAGACTTGAGGATGCGGGTGATGCGGAGGTTGTTGTGGCTGTGCCTGGAGGGGACAGGGGGCGCTGGCAGGGCTACACGGGGCTTGGTGGCGCTCGGCCAAAACCCACCCTGCCCCCCCCCC